ATTCCCTCCACCAGGTGGCGCTGTTGTACAGTGCTTGCTTCGCCTCATCACATTTCCGCCTCTTGCTACATCTTGTGTTCACCTTATTAAACTGATTAAACTGTAAAGTTATTAAAAGTTGTTTTTTTTATGCGGAGCTTCTCAGAATAAGAACAGTCACATGGTGCTGCTCTAACATGCAGACAGCATTGTGCTCTTACAAAAACATTTAGATAATTATATGAGAACAATGTGCAGCTTTTTCCCCGTTAGTCCGCTTTCACACCTGGAACATCTGGCAGCCTGCACACTTTGCTTCTTGTGTTTATTAACGTCCTACAGTGATCTTCACAGTCCACAGCAAAAATACAAACGAAAGCTCAGTTTTCTTTGCGCTTGTGCGGTCGTGTCAAACACATGAATGCAGGTGTGTTAAAGGAATCCTGGCCCCTCCTTTTGACTCGTGTCACGTGATATTCGTGCGTTAGATTTGTGTCTTTTCTTCGTAACAGTGGTAAACGTCCCTGACTCTCACAAAACATGACTTTCACGGTGCTTTTGCTTTTCGTGGCAGGTAGGTCTCAATGCTCATCTTTCAATTCTCAGTCTGCAGGTTTTGTTTCGACTTTTAAACGACTGAACGTTTATTAGTGAAGAGAGGCTCGTTATCGCTTTACAGTGTTCAGATGATCAGGTTACACACTCGTTATCCCACTCACGAGTTTTTATGTATTTTTGTCTTCATAGACTTTCTCGGACTTCCCGTTCGCAGGTTTCAGATTAGTTCTCACTGCAGATGTTCGTCTGTAGTTCTGCAGTGTTTCATCCTTTGAGCATATTTCCCAGCAGCCAGCAGAGTTCTAATCCATGCTTCTGGCTCTTAGTTGATGTTACTTCCTTTTTGTAATCCCTCATTGTTTATGTCCTCGGGTCTTAGTTTGTCATCTAGTCTTTAGGTTTGTGTTATCATGCATGTGTCCCACCTCCCTGCTTGTGTAGTCATTGTGTTTGTTTCCCTCTGTGTCTGTGTGTCAGGGTTATGTACCTGTAGTTTTCCCTCGTGTATATATTCCTCACTCCACTGTTACTTGATTTTGTATTTTGTCTTTGGATGAATCTCCAGCATTAAAACGGTTCCTGAGTTCACGTCTGGCCTCCCACGACCTGTTCAGTCATCATAAACATTAAATTAAAGTGTATATAATGTGAGTGAAAGGTAAATCCTCTCACATTTGTAGATGTGGGTTACTGGGAATGACCAAAATAATTGAACTTTAATAAAAGAAATGAATATTGTAAAAGAGAATATAAACCATGATCAGTATGGTGTAATGAAGTAAAACCATAATATAAAAGTAAACAATGAGCTCAGAGTGGGTGTGGATGCTTTAACGTGTCTGAGGAGAGTTACTGTTTCATATCATCGCACGCCTCGCACACACAAAACTCATCCTAGATTAAATAAAGGAAGAATATGGCCTGGCACTTTACTCAGTCCCAATGGACCCAAAGCGCTTTACACTACATCCAGTCATCCACACATTCACACACTGGTGATGGCAGCTACATCGTAGTCACAGCTGCCCTGGGGCAGCATAACAAATAAAAGACACTCCTGCTGGTGTCACGCAGCACAGTCACCTGGATCGTTCTTCAGCTGTGCATTGTGGGAAAGTCCCCAGGTAAACCCATGTGACTGCCACTCTCGTACTAAAACAACAAAACAGCCAGTGAAGACTTTTTCTTTTAGGATGAAGCATTCACCGTGTTTATTTCCTGATTTTATATTTTGTCTAAAACACATCAGTGTGACTGACCCAGAACATCTGAAAGTACTGGTGTAACATGACTCCCAACATGGAAATGCAAGAAAAACTTTTGCATAAGATATAATCAATCATTCATGCATCACTAGCACAACAGAACAGCACTACAGTCCTCTGTTTGACGCTGTAGTCAGTCACAAATACACAACGCTGGCAGATCAGAAGATTTACTCTTGTTTGCCCTTTGTCCTTCACACTGTCCACCAATAACTTTACAGTTGTGCCCTCTAACAGACAATGTAACACCTACCTACCTGCGAGCAGAGGATGGCTGTGTTTTTAGTACACCTCATCCATGGATTAGCTGAGGCTGTCAGTTTGAGCTTAGTGTACTCCTCAGGCCGCTCTTTCTTTACCACAGCCTTCTGTAGTTCTAGTTCCCTTCATGCTACCTTCATCTTGACCTCTAGTTTCCTTCTCCATGGCCGTTACTGCACATTGAGGCTCTGCGTCTTTTAGCCAAACATCCCAAGGTTCACTGCTGCTGTGGTGGACATCATAGTGACCGTCACATTGTCTGCAATGCTGCATTCACATCTTCTGGTAGACTTTCATGCAGTTTGTATATATATATATACAGGGATATATATATATATATATATATATATATTAGGGGTGCAACGATATTCGTATCGATATTGAACCGTTCGATACAGTGCTTTCGGTTCAGTACGCATATGTATCGAACAATACAACATTTGTAATTTATTTGATCAATTTTCCTTCTGACGATGCTGTCTGTGTTGAGCGCTCAGTGAATCTGTGTTCGACTACTCCG